ATTGGGATTCATTTGGGAAGAAAAAGGCAGTGGAGAAGACTCTTTCAAATGCACCTACCAATCAGAATTAGGATCCTAAACAACTTTCTAGGGCAGGCATCCCCAAACTTTTTACACAGGGGGCCAGTTCACTGTCCCTCAGACCATTGGAGGGCCACCACATACTGTGCTCCTCTCACCACCAATGAAAGAGGTGCCCCTTCCTGAAGTGCGGCGGGGGCCGGATAAATGGCCTCAGGAGGCCGCATGCGGCCCGCGGGCCACAGTTTGGGGACGCCTGTTCTAGGGAAAGAACCAACTCAGAATAAACCAATGGACCATCAACCAAGTGGGAGGTCTGGGGCTCAGGAGTAACTACCAGTTACACCTGAGAGAAGCTTGCGGTTGGGGCCTTGGAGGGTGGGATGGGGGTCCTGAGTTTTCTCTGATTGCATTGGGTGTCAGTTTCTGATGAGGAAAGGAGTCCAAATCTGTAAAATGTTTAAAGATGTTTATTCTGAGCCAAATATGAGTGATGAAGACCTGAGGCACAATCTCAAGAGGTCCTCAGTACATTTGCCCACATACCATTTTCCAGTGTCTGTAACATTTTACGTTTCCATCAGCAATGCACAAGGGTTCCAATTTCTTCATATCCTTGCCAGCAATTATTTTCTGGTGTGTGTGTATTTTGAGTTGGAGTCTTTGTTATCCAGGGTAATGCAGTGATGCGATCTTGGCTCACTGCAACCACTACCTCCTGGGTTAAAGCATTTCTCCTGTCTCAGCCTCCTGAGTAGCTGGGATTACAGGTTTGTGTCACTATGCCTAGCTAATTTTTATATTTTTAGTAGAGACAGGGTTTTAGCATGTTGGCCAGGCTGGTCTTGAACTCCTGACCTCAAGTGATCTGCCTGCCTTGGCCTCCCAAAATGCTGGGATTATAGGCATGAGCCACTGCGCCCAGCCTGGTGGTTTAATTTTAGCCTTTCTAGTAGGTTCAAAGTAGTATCTCTGTTTTTGGTTTGTATTTCCCTTATCACTAGTGATGTTGAGAATCCTTTTGTTTGCTAATTGGCTACCTGTATATCCTCTGTAGTATTTATAGTTTTAGTTACTCCTTACCTTTAGGCCTTTGATCCATTTTGATTTTGACTTAATTTTTGTATACAGTGAAGATAAAGGTCCAAGGCCAGGCTTGGTGGCTCATGCCTGTAATTCTAGCACTTTGGGAGGCCAAGGTGGGCAGATGACTTGAGGTCAGGAGTTCGAGACCAAACTGGGCAATATGGTGAAACTCTGTCTTTACTAAAAATACAAAACAGCTGGGCATGGTGGCGTTCACCTGTAATCCTAGCTACTCGGGAGGCTGAGGCACGAAAATCACTTGAACCCAGAAGATGGGGGTCATAGTAAGCTGAGATTGCGCCACTGTGCTCCAACCTGGGCAACAGAAAAAATAAAGTCCAATTTTTTTTCATATGTGTTTCCATTTGTTGAAGAGACCATTCTTTTCCTACTGAATGCTGTTGATGCCCTTGTTGAAAACCATTGGATCATAGATGTATGGGTTTCCTTCTGGACTCTCAGTTCTTTTTCATTGATCTGTATGTCTGTCTATGCCAGCACCAAACAATTACAATTATTTCTTTCTTTTTTTTTTTTTTTTTTGAGACGGAGTTTCGCTCTTGTTACCCAGGCTGGAGTACAATGGTGCAATCTCGGCTCACCGCAACCTCCGCCTCCTGGGTTCAGGCAATTCTCCTGCCTCAGCCTCCTGATTAGCTGGGACTACAGGCGCACGCCACCATGCCCAGCTAATTTTTGTATTTTTAGTAGAGACGGGGTTTCACCTTGTTGACCAGGATGGTCTCGATCTCTTGACCTCGTGATCCACCTGCCTCGGCCTCCCAAAGTGCTGGGATTATAGGCGCGAGCCACCGTGCCTGGCCAACAATTACAATTATTATAGCTTTGTATAAATTTTGAAATCAGGAAGTGAATCTTCCAACTTTATTTTTCTCTTCAAAGATTGTTTTGGCTATCTGATATTTTTTGTAATTTTATATGAATTTTTAAAAATTTTACAGTGATTGCTATGTGGTTTGCAGTATTCATTGACAAGGAATTTATGTACATTTTCAAATAACACTGTACTTTTTGGTTTGTGTGGGTACCCTTTAACAGGATACCCAGTGTCTTCCTCCTGTCGATTATGACATTTTTGTGATTCATTTCACTTACCCAGAACCTATAATCACCCAATACATTGCTGCTATTATTTTGAGGAAATTGTTACCTAATAGATCAATTTAGACTAAGAAAAGTAAGATTTCATTTTACCTTCATTTCTTCCTTCTCTAAAATTACTTGTTTATGTAGATTCAAATTTTTTTCTTTTCTTTTCTTTTTTTTTTTGTTAGATTCAAATTTTTTATCTATACTTTCTTTTCTATGAAGAGCTTCTTTTGACATTTCTCGTAAGGCAGGTCTACTGGCAACACATTCTTACAGTTCTTGTTTATCTGAGAAGGTCTTTATTTCTTCTTCACTTTTGAAGGATAATGCCATTGGATACCAAATTCTAGTTTGGTGGGTTTTTTTCTTTCTTTCAACACTTTATTTATTTTATTTTTTTGAGACAGAATCTCACTCTGTCCCCCATGCATGAGTGCAGTGCCGCAATCTCAGCACACTGCAACTTCTGCCTCCCAGTTTCCAGCAATTTTCCTGCCCCAGCCTCCTGAGTAGCTGGAATTATAGGCACCCGCCACCATGCCTGACTAATGTTCATATTTTTAGTAGAGATGGGATTTCTCCATGTTGAGCGGGCTGGTCTCAAACTCCTGGACTCAAGTGGTCCACTTGTCTTGGCCTACCAAAGTGCTGGGATTACAGGCGTGAACTACCACGCCTGGCCATCTTTCATAAGTTTAAATAGTTAATTCCACTCTCTTCTTGCTTGTAGGGTTTGCGAAAATAAGTAATGTCTCTAGCAGTAGGGTTTTGCTCCTGGAGTTTTTTTTTTCTGGAAAGCTGTGATTTTTGTATCTGCTTCTCTCTCCAGTTTATAGGACAGTGGTTTGCCCTGTGACCTAAGTTCTCTGATGAATCTAAAACAGGTTCTTGTTTTTTAGCTTTTTCATTTTCATTTTCCCTTGTGAGGATGGTATTGACAGCTTCCAAGCCCTTTACATCTTGGAGCAGAAGTCTCCATATGAATTTTTGGAATAGCTTTTCCATTTCTACAACAAAGACTGTTAAGATTTTGAAAGGGAGGCATCGAATCTGTGGACGAGTTTGGGTAATATTGCCTTAATGCTGATTGTCTCAATCCATGAACATAAGGTGTCTTTTAATTTAGATTTTGTTTAATGTCTTTCACCAATGTTTGCTAGTTTTCAATGTACAACTCTTATTCCTCCTTGGATACATTTATTCTTATGTGGGCTGGATGTGGTGTCTCATACCTCTAATATTACTCTTTTTGATGGTATTGTAAATGGAATTGTTTTAGTTTCAGATTGTGCATTACTAGTATATATGAAGATATACAGAGACATAACATGGATTCTGTACTGAATTTATATATTAGGTCTAATAGCTTGTTTGTGTGTATTCTTCAGGTTTTCTATATATCGATGAAGTCATCTGCAAATAGAGAATTTACTGTTTCCTTTCTAATTTGGATGGCTTTTACATCTTTTTCTTCCCTAATTGCTCTGGCTAGAACTTGCGTTACAGTGTTGAATAGAAATGGCAAAAGAAGACATCCTTGTCTTGTTCTTCATTTTATGAGGAAAGTTTTCAGGATTAAACGTAATGTTAGCTGTGTTTTTTATAAAATCTTTTTGTCATATTGAGGAAGTTTCCTTCTGTGTATGGTTTGAGTGGTTTTATCAGGAAAGGGTATTGGATTTTGTCAAATGCTTTTTTCTTTTTGCATCACTTGAGAAGGCCATAAGATTATGATTTTTCTCCTTCATTCAATTAGTGCAGTAGGCCAGGTGCAGTGGCTCACGCTTGTAATTCTGGAACTTTGGAGGCCAAGGCAGGAGGATCACTTGAGTCAGAGTTTGAGACCAGCTTGGGCAACAAGGTGAGACCCCATCTCTCTAAAAAACAAAAACAAAAACAAAGCCAGTATTGCTTGATTTTTATAAAGTGAGTCACCCTGACATCTCTGGGATAAATCCCAGTTTGTTGTAATATGTAATCCTCTTAATAGATGGTTGGATTAGATTTGCTAGTAGTTTGTTTCGGATCTTTTACATTTGTATTTGTAAGGCATTTTCTTACTATAATTTTCTTGTGAAGACAGAAGGTATCCTGTCTTCATATAATGAATTAGTATTCTCCCCTCTTGTTTTTTTCAAAGAGTTTGGAAAGCATTGGTGTTAATTATTCTTTTTTTTTTTTTGAGGCGGAGTTTCACTCTTGTTACCCAGGCTGGAGTGCAATGGCGCGATCTCGGCTCACCGCAACCTCCGCCTCCTGGGTTCAGGCAATTCTCCTGCCTCAGCCTCCTGAGTAGCTGGGATTACAGGCACGTGCCACCATGCCCAGCTAATTTTTTGTATTTTTAGTAGAAACGGGGTTTCACCATGTTGACCGGGATGGTCTCGATCTCTTGACCTCGTGATCCACCCGCCTCGGCCTCCCAAAGTGCTGGGATTACAGGCTTGAGCCACCGCGCCTGGCCAATTATTCTTTAAATGTTTGTAAAGGCTGGGTGTGGTGGCCCACTCCTGTAATTTCAGCACAGAGACAGAGGCAGGAGGATCACCTGGAGCTGAGAGTTTGAGACTAGCCTGTGCAATGTAGTGAGATCTTATCTCTACTGAAGAATTTTTTTTTTTTTTTTTCAATTAGCTGGACCTGGCAGCAGCATCTGTAGTTCCAACTATTCAGGAGGCTGAAGTGGGAGGATTTCTTGAGCCAGTGGGTTCAAGGTTTTCAGTGATCTATAATGGTGCCACTGTACTGTGGCTTGGGTTACAGAGTGAAACCATGTCTTAAAATAAAATATGGAATGCTTCACAAGTTTACATGTCATCCTTGCACAGAGGCCTTGCTAATCTCTGTGTTGTTCCAATTTTAATATATGTGCTGCTGAAGTGAGCATGGGCTTTTCTTTTTGAGGTTTTTGACTATTGATTCAATCTAAGATTCATTTAGATTTTCTCTCTTCTTTAATCTGTTTTGGTACTTTGTGCATTTCTAGGACTTTGTGTCACCTAGATTGTCTAATCTGTTGGTGTACAAATTGTTCATGGTATTCTAATACTTTTCATTTTTAAGATCTGCAGAATTGTCTCTACTTTGTTTTTTGAAGTTAGTAATTTGAGTCCTTTTTAAAAATCTTGATCAGTCTAGCTAAATGTTTATCAATTTTGTTGATCTTTTCAAAAAACCAGTTTTTGGTTTGCCTGATGTTTTTTCTATTTTTCTCTTCTGTGTCTTGTTCATCTCTTCTCTGATCTTTCCTTCTGCTAGCTTTGAATTTAGCTTGCTCTTCTTTTTCTGCTTGCTTAAGGTATTGATCTGGGATCTTTCTTATTTTTCATTCATCCATTTACTCATTCATTTATATATTTATAGAGACGAGATCTTGCTATGTTGCCTAGACTAAAGTGCAGTGGTGTGACCATAGCTCTCTACAGCCTCAAACTCCTGGACTAAAGTGTTACCCTCCTGCTTCAGCCTCTATGTGCACTTAAAAAAAAGTGTATTCTGCTTTTGTGGGTTGGAGTATTCATATTTGTTTAGCTCTAATTGTTTTATAGTATTATGTAAGTACACTCTTTATTGATCTTATGTCTACTTTTTTCTGTTACTCAAAGTGGATTGTTAAAGTCTCTAACTATTGTTGATCTGTCAGTTTCTCCCTTAAATTCTGTCAGCTTTTAGCCTTATACATTTTGGTATGCTCTTGTTATGTTTGTTTATATTATTGTCTTCCTGATTAATGGCCTTCTTTGTCTCATAACCATTTTTTTAAATAAAAGACTTTTTTTTTTTTTTTTTTTTTTTTTTTTTTTTTTAAAGAAATGAGCTGTCTAGCTCTGTTGCTGAGGCTGGAGTGCAGTAGTGCGATCACTGCTCATAGTAATCTTTAACTCTTGGGCTTAAGCAGTCTGCCTGTCTCAGCCTCCTCTCATAACAACTTTTAATTTCATTTTGTCTGGTACAGGTTGAGTATCCTTTATCTAAACTGCTTAGTACCAGAAGTGTTTCAGTTTTTGGATTTTTTTGTAATTTGGAATATTGCTAATATATAATAAGGTATCTTATGAATGAAAAATTTATTTCTGTTTTGTATATACCTTATGCATATAACCTGAAGGTAATTTTATAGCGTATTTTTAGTAATTTTGTGTGTGAGACAAAGTTTGTGTATGTTGAGCCATCTGAAAGCAAAAATGTCACTTTTTCTCTGGGCACTTTTCTTTTTTGAAGAGGCTGGATGTGGTGGCTCATACCTGTAATCTCAGCACTTTGGGAGGTTGTGGCAGGAGGATCGCTTGAGCCCAGGAGTTTGAGACCAGGCTAGAGAACATAGTAAGACTTCATCTCTGCAAAAAAAATTTTTTTAATTAGCTAGGTGTGATGAAGTACACCTATAGTCCCAGCTACTCAGGAAGCTGAGGTGGGATGATCACTTGAGGGCAGGACTTGGGAGGCTGCAGTGAGCTATGATCATGCCACTGCACTCTACCCTATACCCTGTCTCAAAAAAAGGAAAGAAGGAAAGTAAAGGTGTCACTATCTCTGCCACCCATGTGGACAATCAGTGGTTGCTTGACATCACCATCATTCCTGACTATGAATTTAAATGCTACCAATAAGCATTCATTTTTGCCCAGATAGTCCTATAGCATTTCTGTAATGTTTTCTTCTGTAGTTTCATAGTTTTGGGTCTTACATTTAAGCCTTTAATCCATTTTGAGTTGACTTTTGCATACAGTAAAAAATGGGTATGTAATTTCTTTCTTCTGCATATGGATATCCAGTTTTCCCAGCACCGTTTATTTTATATTGATTGATTGATTTGTTTCTTGAGATAGGAGTCTCATTCGGTTGCTCAAGCTGGAGTGCAGTGGTGTGATCATAGCTCACTGCAGCCTCGACCTAGGGTCAAGCAAACCTCCAGCCTCAGACAAAGTGCTGGAATTATAGATGTCAGCCACTGCGCCTAGTCTATATTTCTTTCATTCTTTTTTTTTTTTTGACGTAGAGTCTCACTCATCACCAGGCTGGATTGCAGTGACATGATCTCAGCTGACTGGAACCTGTGCCTCTTGGGTTCAAGTGATTATTCTGCCTCAACCTCCTGAGTAGCTGTGACTACAGGCATGTGCCACCACACGCAGCTAATTTTTGTATTTTTTTTTTTTTTTTTTTTTTTTTTTTTTTTGAGACGGAGTTTCGCTCTTGTTACCCAGACTGGAGTGCAATGGCGCGATCTCGGCTCACCGCAACCTCCGCCTCCTGGGCTCAGGCAATTCTCCTGCCTCAGCCTCCTAAGTAGCTGGGATTACAGGCACACGCCACCATGCCCAGCTAATTTTTGCACCTTTAGTAGAGACGGGGTTTCACCATGTTGACCAGGATGGTCTCGATCTCTCAACCTCGTGATCCACCCGCCTCGGCCTCCCAAAGTGCTGGGATTACAGGCTTGAGCCACCGCGCCCGGCCAATTTTTGTATTTTTAATAGAGATTGGGTTTCACTATGTTGGCCAGGATGGTCTCAATCCCTTGACCTCATGATCCACCTGCTTTGGCCTCCCAAAGTGCTGGGATTACAGGCATGAGTCACTGCACCCAGCTCAGTTATGTTTTGCATATGGTGAGCGGTATGGGTCTAGTTTTATTCTTCTGCATATGGGTACCTGATTTTCCCAGTACCATTTATTGAATAGGGAGTTCTTTTGCCAGTGTGTATTTTTGTTGACTTTGTTGAAGATCAGTTAGATCTAGGTATGTGGCTTTATTTCTGTGTTCTCTATTCCATTTCTTTGAACTATATGTTTATTTTTATGCCAGTACCATGCTGTTTTGGTTACTATAGCCTTGAAGTATAATTTGAAGTCAGATAGTGTGATGCCTCCCAGTTTTGTTCTTTTTACCTAGGATTGCTTTAGTTATTTGGGCTATTTTTTAGTTTCATGTGAATTGTAGGATATTTTTTCTAATTCTGTAAAAAATGATGTTGGTAATTTGATAGGGATTGTGTTGAATCTCTTGATTGCTTTGGGAAGTGTAGTCATTTTAATGATATGAGTCTTCCAGTCTGTGAGCATAGGATGTATTCCATTTGTTTGTGTCATCTATGATTTTTTTAGTGTTTTCTAGTTGTTCTTACAGATATTTTCACCTCCTTGGTTAAATGTATTCCTAGGTATTTTATTGTTTTTTGTGGCTATTGTAAATGGGATTGCCTTCTTGATTCTGTCTTCCACCAGATTGTTTTTGGTGTACAGAAATGCTATTGATTTCTGTACGTTAAATTTGTATCCTGAAACTTTACCAAATTTATTCATTAAATATATGAGGTTTTTTTTCTGGAGTCTTTTTTATTGTTGTTTTTTTAAATAGAGATGGGGTTTCACCATGTTGGCCAGGATGGTCTCAATCTCTTGACCTTGTGATCTGCCCACCTCTGCCTTCCAAAGTGCTGGTATTACAGGCATGAGCCACCGTGCTGGCCTTTCTGGAGTCTTTAGAGTTTTCTAGATACAAGATTATATCAATGAACTGGGACAACTTGACTTCCTCTTTTCCAATTTTGATGACTTTTTTTTTTCTTGCCTGATTGCTCTGGCAAGGACCTCCACTACTATGATGAATAGAAGTGGTGAAGATGGGCATCCTTGTCTTGTTCCAGTTCATAGAGGAAGTGCTTTCAACTTTTCTCCATTAAATATGTTGGCTGTTGGTCTGTCATATATGGCCTTTATTATGTTGAGGTATGTTTTCTTATGCCTAGTTTGTTGACTTTTATCATGAAGGGATGCTTAATTTTACCAAATGATTTTGTTTATCTCATTAGATGATCAGATAATTTTTGTCCTTCATTTTGTTTATGTGATGTATCACATTTTATTGATGCATCCTTCCAGCACCCTTAAAAAAAAAAAAAAAGGATGGGTTATCACTTTGTTGCTCAGGCTGGAATGCAGTGGCATGATCATAGCTCTCTACAGCCTCTAACTCCTAGGGTGAAAGGATCCTCTTTCTTCAGCCTCCGGTGTAGCCAAGGCTATAAGGAATAGTCATGTTACCCATGCCCAGCTAATTTTTTATTTTTTATTTTTTGAGACTTGAGTTTTGCTCTTGTTGCCCAGGCTGGAGTTTAGTGTCAATAGTCTTTGCTCACTGCAGTCACCGCCTCTCTACAGTTGCCTGCCACCACACCCAGCTAATTTTTTGTATTTATGCCCAGCTAATGTAAAAAACTTTTTATAGAGATGAGGGTCTCACTGTGTTACTCAGGCTGCTCTTGAACACTTATATATATATGTGTGTGTGTATATGTGTGTATATATATATGTGTGTGTGTGTGTGTGTATATTTTTTATACACACACATATATGTATACACACACACACACATATATATATATGTATATATATATATATATTTTCACTTTAGGTTCTGGGGTACTGTGCAGATCATGCAGGATTGTTGCATAGGTACCTACATGGCAATGTGGTTTGCTGCCTCCATCCCTCTGTCACCTATATCTGGAATTCCTCCCCATGTTATCCCTCCCCAACCTCCCTACCCCCTGCTGTTCCTCCCGTATTCCCCCGCAACAGACCCCAGTGTATGATGCTCCCCTCCCTGTGTCCGTGTGTTCTCATTGTTCAACACCCGCCTATGAGTGAGAACATGCGGTGTTTGATTTTTCTGTTCTTGTGTCAGTTTGCTGAGAATGATGGTTTTCAGATTCATCCATGTCCCTACAAAGGACACAAACTCATTGTTTTTTATGGCTGCATAGTATTCCCTGATGTATATGTGCCACATTTTTCTTGTCCAGTCTATCATTGATGGGCATTTGGGTTGGTTCCAGGTCTTTGCTACTCAAACTCTTGACCTCAAACAGTCCTCCTTGGCCT